TTTTATTTTTTTTTTTTTTATAGCAAAGAGCAAGTATTGTATATGATATTTTGAATGTATATAATTATATTTATTGAAATAATTTTTTCATGTTTCTTTATAAAAACTGTTTTGCTTTTTCCGTACATTTTATAGTAAAGGAATTACGATAAAATATGATATCATTTGTTACTCTTGCACTGCCAAAGTATCAAAGTAACAAATTCAATATACATCTAATTTATATACATTACTTACGATTTTCTCCTTTTTTTTATACTTATTCATTTCTTTTTCTCTGATTTTTTCTATCTCGTATTTATTTTTACTTTGAAATATGGTTGCTGTTATCTAAATTCACACCTTGTACATAGTTTGAATTAGGGATATTATTAACAGACATGTGATATATGTATATTCTTTCCCAATATGAAACTCTCTAAAAATGTATATGATTTCCGCAATAATGTAGTGTTGTTTAATCTAATCTAATTGATATTTTTCGCTTATGGAAATAAATATCCAACAGGAAAAAACGGAAGTGGATAGAAAATACGAGAGATATATTTATAGTTGGAATACTGCAACAATTTGACATAGATTTGATTATATATAGATTTTTCTGTACATTCTTTTTACATTATTTAATATTTTTGTAATTCATTTTTATAATATATTAATTATAATCATAATTATACAAAAAGCTATGGTAAAATTCATCTAATTTTATTATAATATTTACAAAAAATAGAATATTGATGTATAATGTTATAAAACCTTCGAATATATTGTCAAAGTAGTTTCAAAGTACACACAAGCATATATTTATTATTTAGTGGAACGCTCGAAAACACAACATCTAAAAATTATTTAATAATTGTTAAATTGAAAATCTTGCATTTTATATAGACGCATCATATATTGATACAATATACATACATATTTCAAAGATATATAATAAATTTCTGCTGTTAATTAGAAATAGGTAGAACTATTTACATGTATATGAATAATGAAACATGCATTAGCATAAACATATGTATACTTATCAAGAGATAAAAGGGGGATGCATATAATAAAAATTTCAAACTCTACACACATAATGTACATTATTTTCTGAAAGAAACAAGATAGAAGCAATATATGAAATCTTTGTGTATAGCTTTAATGTAAAAAACTATATGAGATAAGTGACATTTTAATTAAAATGTTTCATAATATAAATATCATGTATTATTGCTAAAAAAATTTATTATTTTATAATTGCTAATGCATTTTACATTTCGAGTTTATATGTTTTGCCTAACATTATGTATTGCTCACTTAGAGTTTAGCAGTGTCAATGTAATTGCACCATTATGTACATTTGTGCAACTTTTGTAAATAATGAAAGATTAAACATCATTGTACCCGTCAAAATTTATTTAGTTATATTCTTTAGAGTCGATAATGCTTCTATCTTGTAAATTTGCTTATATATCGTACCTCATTCTTACGCTTAAGTATCGTCGAATTTTTTATTCTCGAGCGAGCAAACCTGGACAAGCCTCGAGGCTTTTGTTTACTTATTGTTAGCACAATTAGCACATTAATGATAATCCTTTCCACTTTCTCTATACTTGTTCTTATGTTCGTTTTGAATTAAACAGCATATACAAACTTTTAAATATTTTTTAGAAAAGCACTATCTATTGTTTAAAATTTGTTAGGTTGCTATTAAAATAACATATAAATTAATATAATGTTAGAAGTTAAAACATCAGTTTAGTTTGTACAAACAATTATATTCGCATGATTCATTATCCCACATAACAGATTATTAGCAAAGAATTCGGCATTCTATGTGGTACATATTTTACATTTTAATAATACACATTTCTCTTTTTTGTTACGTATTTATATTTAGATATATTAATATTTCATCTGTCGATTTTCTATGATTAAATAGGTAATGTTGCACATATAAACAAAATTGTACTATTTATATATAAATGTAATTCTGATACAAACAAATTCTTTCTTGTGTTTTATATCAAATTAATTTATTTCTCTAAACGTAAAATATATATTTATAGAAAAAATGTTTTAGTTAAAAATATTACTTTATTTGGAAAGAAATGTCCTGTTGTCTGCACAGTTTTGTTTAAAGTGAAGGCATTTCTGAAATTTTAAAATTTTTGCTTCTTTAGAACTATGAAACTATAAAAGCTATAGAAATATATTTTTTCGAAATATATATATATACACACACACACAGACACACATATAGTTTAAAAATATATAATTCTAAATATTTAATGGTCATTAAAAGTTAGAGAATCGATCTACATATTTATGTATAGAGATCACTATATTGTGTGTATGTATATGATGTAAATATGATGTGTACGTGTGTGTGTATATATGATGTATATATTTACATCATGTGTATGTGTATACGACACATACATTTATATGTAGAGACGACCGAGAATTTATTTTTCAGCATTGGTAATTCTGAAATCAGAGTTTTGTATTATCATCACGCGCGCGCGAGATCTCCAATATCAATTCTCCAAGCTCGTGTTCTTGTTGGAGAATGGATTCTTCGTCTTATAAACGAAAACCGGTCGCTTATTTAACGAGGAAAGTTCAAATTTCTTGTTGTCACCGTTTGAATAGGTACGTGACGTAAATTATACGTTTTCAGTATTGGCAATTAATATCGGAACGTAGCCTAAAAGTGATGCAAGGACATATATATATATATACTTTGACTATAAAAAAATACTGCAATAAAAGACTAGCTAAAATATTGTTTAAGAGATTTGAGACACTTTATACCAGTTTCAAATATTTTAATAAATTTTAGCCCATTTTTGAATGAGCATGAAAATGCAAGAGTGTATGGAAAGTGCAACAATATTTGGGGTCATGGTCATAATTACACAATAGAAGTAACTGTTCGCGGACCAATAGATCCATCAACAGGAATGGTTCTTAATCTGACAGACTTGAAAGACTGCATGCAGAAGGTGGTGATAGATCAAATGGATCATAAAAATATTGATAAGGAGCTGGATCATTTCACAAACACAGTATCTACAAGCGAAAATATTGCTGTTTACATTTTCGAGCAGCTAAAAAAGCAAATGTCTAATCCTGAATTATTGTATGAAGTCAAAGTTCATGAAACTGATAAAAATGTTATGTATTTTAGAGGCGAATACGATGAAAATGTATCTTCCGATTTTTAATTACACCATTTATACAAATTTGTATATTTTTTAGTGTTCTTTTTTTTTTACATTTTTATTACTCATATACTACAACTTTTAAAAAAATAAAATTATTATACATAAACCATATGTTATAAAACATACAGATATTAATATACACATTCCTATTTCATCATAATTTCATTTAGTTAGATATGATTATGTAGATATACATATATGCTATGTACAATATAACTACAAGTTGAAAACTGTTTACTCTCATATCTTTTTATTATTGCACATATGTAGATACAGTCTCAAATTGTAGATAACTATGAAATCCTGAGTATATTATTTATATGTATGTGTGTATACATGCACGCGCGCGCGCATCACATAGAACATGTACACTCAGGAATTTTAACACACATACATATACATATAAGTTAAATATACTTATACTATATGTTTACATATAGATATTTAAAATATAAATTGCGCATTGCGTTTTTAAGTAATGATTAGAAAACATATAAAAATAGTCTTTTGTAAAAAAGTTAACAAGAGTACACATATCACAATACATAATCATCCTATAAATTATTTTTAATTTGCTAATATACATAATCATAAATATTAAACCAATTTTCTAAAATTATTCGTGTGCATGAGGGAATTTTTTGTTTGTGTATAATGTCAACAATTACGGAGAAATAACAACATTATTTATAATTTAAGACAAAAATTTTGTTATAAAGTATCTAAATGTGTGTCATACTTTATAAATTTTCTATAAAATCTGTTTTAGGTTTTTATAAGAGAGAAATATAGCTTACTATCTAATATCACTAAAAGAAGAAATTAATTTCCAAATAAAAATATTCATTAGACTATTACAAAAAAAAAATAATTTGCTTATTAATTTTTGATAATATTTGCACTCATTTAATATGAATAATTTTAATATAAATAAATAAGAAACAGATCTAGAGTACTGTATAATGTAGTAAATAACTTTAATTCTACATTATATAAATTCATTTCAAATTAAATGTCATATGCTATTTTAGTATATTATAACATTATTACTAAACTCTTTTTTATTAAGTGTTTAATGTCACTTGTAATAATTGTTTGTACACGTTTATTTTTTCATTTTCTTATAATGTAAAATTTAATCCTTAGCTTCATTCCCACTTTGATTCTATAAAACGAAAGAGATGCAATGTATTTTTCAAAAATAAACATTTATATAAGTTGCAGAACCACACATATATGTGTACTTAAATATTGCATGAAACCCAAACACTTATTACAATAATAATGCATTATAGTCTTAGACATCTCAAAGTGGTTGCAAGAAGAGTTATATGTTCGAATCATAGTTTATTTTCATATAACTTCGAATAGTCACGTATGGTATACCGAGTTCGAAATCATCTCTGGGCCAGTATTTAAGTACTGGCAATTGTTGCGGCTTTTCATCTTGTACGGCAAAATATGCAAAAAGCACCGCCGCGGTGTAACTTGCAATAAAGATAAATAGATGCCATAGCGCGTGAAGATAAGGAAAATTAAGATTTAGCCATGTATCACAGAACAAACGATCGTTTAACCAACAAGTTACCGATAGTATCCACATGGCGCTGCATCGCAATCCCAGTCTATATACTCTCATCGATGTAGTCCTTTAAAATTTGTGCTTGATTGTTAGAATTTGTATAATTTTCTGTGTATATATATATAATTTCTATATCTAATCTAATTCTATATATTTATTTCTATATTTATATCTATGTTTATAAATTTCTATTATTTAAATTACCTCTTCAGTTCTATGATCAGAAATCCGAACGCCGGTATACCCAAGCTCATCAATGCGAAAGCATTTACAGCTGGATGTATTATGCCTAAGCCAGTAGCGATCAAAGTCGGTAATATTGCGCATATAGAGAAGAGCTTTCTATCATTGCGAAAGATATTTGGAAAATATCTTCTTGGAAAGAACATGCAAAAGCCTGCCATGTATACCCATAAAATAGCTAATTCATCCAAGAGTTGTCCTATTACACATAAAATTAATTTATATATATAAATTTTTCCACGATTAACCCAACATTATTTTTAAACAGTAACTGCAATATCAGAACCATTACTTCTTAATTATTAGTTGATATATTTTCATATTCATGATTCTTACCAATCAAGGACAAAGTAGCATGAAAATATGCGCTACTGAGTCCCACTATCATCAATAAGAACCAAATTATATGAATCCCAGGATTTACAAAGCGACCATAATCTCTAAATAAGTGCATGAGCACAGGTGGAAGTAACAGGAAGACCACATTACTGAACTAAAAAATAAAAAGTTAAATAGTAATAACAATCAATTTAATCTCAGTAAAATGCATACTCCCTTCGTTGTGCCGACCTGCAATTGGCAACAATCAAAAGTAAAAATTACATGTTATCCTTTTATACTTTTGTAATATTTATCTAATTTAATTAATTTCGATTTAAATAGTAATATAAATCTTAGTTTTATCCAAGAACATCTATATGTATACATAGCTATGAGATATATAGTATATGAGAGAGGAGAGAAAGAGAGAGTCATACTTAATATGCAGAAAAAAATAGAGTATTCTATTAAATGCTGTCTGAAATGTTTTAAAAGAATAAATTACTTTCTATCCATGAATAATTTGTAAATGTAATGTTTCTAAACATAAATGAGTGTAGGAAGATAATGTAGAACAAGCCATTGAAACCAGCAGGCTTATTCTATAACTTTAAACGCATGCATTATAATTATAACGTGTAAATACTTCTTTTTAAAAATATATTTGACATGTTTTTTATTTTTTGTTTTCTGAGTACTAACAATATCGCGTGTGTAAAATATCTGAACGTGATTGTCTAAAAAAAAAGAACATGAGAGCGATAACTTGTTGAGCAAATTTGCTTCTCTTTCATCTCTCAAAATACATGAAATAAATTTTTAGATTCTTGAAAACAGGAACGCTTGTGTGCTAAATATATTATATATATAAATATATACGAACTGTATTCATAAATTCAGCGATGCTGGGTGAAATACTGTAATTGCCTTCACACCAGTCCACTGGTGAACTGCCAGCCTCAAAGGGTTTCCACATGTTTCAAAAACGAAGTCTTGATTCCTCAAAACTCGAGACTGAGTTGTTCAAGTTTCTCACGAGATTCAAGTTAGTTTCTTAAAAGAGAAATCATCTGACGATAGCACAATAGACATTCTCGTGTAGCCACATACGTATGTGCATACGTATATTGAGTGATTTGCACTCAAAGTTACGTGGAAAGAATACAAAAATATATTTTATTCCGATCCAATCTTTCCAATCTAACATCTCATATCATCCTGAACCTAATTCCTAAATATTTGCGTTATTTCTATATTATAAATGGAGAAAAATATTTATACGATTACTAAATATCAACAAATGTGTATTTGATTCTATCAGTGAACTGTATACATATTGAAATGAGCGATCCCTTTGTTTGGCTATCGCCACTTTTTCGCCGAGAGAGAGGTGTCAGGTGTGTTTGGATGATGGCATCTCTTTCTAGTATTATCTGATTGGTCCATGGCATGTCACGTGACATCATTCTTAGTTTAGGCTGCGTTTGAAAACATTACCTGTGTGCACACGAGTGTCGTTCTATCTTTGTTATGTACTAAAAGTTAAGCAAAGATAGAACGACAATCGTGTGCACACGGGTGATATTTGTCGTACGACAAATGTAATATCGGCGTGATACGGGCTTAACACTATTCGAGTCTTGAATATATCATTTTTATTGGTACTTGGTATGCTCTACTCTTAGAACATATATAAATGGAAGGGGAATAGCAGGCTGAAAAGTGTCGAAGGAAGTGAGAAAGAAATCGTAGTTGCCTCTCTCTTGTGGGTAACTACACATACAAGCATCGTGTCTGTAGTATACATACTTTTGTGTACACACACATGGCCGCGCATGCGCACTTTTGAGCAAAGTAACTCACAAGAGAGAGGCAACTATGATTTTCTTTCTTACTTCCTTCCGACATGTTTTTCTATCGGGAAACAAAGGCATTCCCCTTCCATTTATATATGTTCTAAGGCTCTACTCAGGGCTGCGTTCGAGAACATCACCCGTGTGCACCGAGCGTCGTTCTATGTTCTATCTTTGTTATTTACTGAAAGTTGAACAAAGATAGAACGACGCTCGTGTGCACACGGATGATGTTCTCGAACGCGGCCCAGTACATCAAGGTGAGCAAAGCTCGTCTTAACGACCGATATGCTTTTTCGCAAATACTTGTATTGATTTGTATTTTTATGTGAAAGGAATCGTCAGAAACACAAATTAAATAGAATTTACATAATAAATTAATAAAAGAGAAAGAAAAGTGTGTGGTCGGATAATTTAAAAGTTTTGAAAAAAGGTTAGTATATTAGTATGATTCAAAGTTCGATAGATTCGATATGACAAAATAATGGAAAATTTATGTTTTGGGTGGTTTCTATATATTATTATGAGATTTCTATTTTTTTATGGGTTTTTTAAAAAGTATTTAGATTTAAATTTAGGTTAGGTAATATTGATGTATACAATTAGAATAATTTAGATTTTTACAGTTAAATAATATTTCTACTTTGTCTATTGTTGACGAATAATTATTATATAAATGTAGAAGATATATCAAATTTTAATTGCATAATATGTGCCAAAAACAGAAAAAAATGATTAATAGAACTGTGATCTTTGTCACGACCTTGAATTAGACAAGCATGGCGTAGTTAAAATCTAATATATATATATGTGTGTGTGTGTGTGTGTGTGTTGCTAATTATCATAAAAATAAAAAATTAGGTTTTTTTTTTAATAAAGTTAATTTTAAGTAAACTCTATATAATTTCATATATATATTGATGAAATTTTTACAGAAAGAAAACTAAACTTAAATTTATTAACAATGAGACATGTTTAATCAATTCAAAGAAATTATAAAATATTTTTGATGTAATGACAAACTTGAATCTATTTCTGTTCAAAGAATAATTTGTGCATAATTATTAATTATTTATAGTCAATTAACATATACTTGAAATAAAATAAAATTATTCTTGTAAGAGTCAAGTACAGTGATATTATTTCTTAAACTATATATATATATATATATATATATATATATATATAAATGTCTTTCTATATATATTTTGTTCTCAACTTTATTAAATTTAATAATAAAATTCGAATAAAAGTGATAAATCTGTAAATACATACTTTAAGAGATAAGTTTTGCTGGAAATCAATTATCTCAAAATATTTGCAATTTTTGCAATCAAGTGGGTTATTTTCAAAACTAATTAATTTTCAGGTTAACAGAAACTGAGTCTTTTCGAAAATGGCTACTAATAATGATGATATTGTAGATCAAACATTGTCAGAAAAATTATTAGAAAAAGGACGAAGATCACCATTTCTTGTAGCAAGTATGTATGCATATATAAAACAGATAAAAATATAAATAATCTTTATATTATTAATATCAACTATGTATATCGTTTTTTTTTAAACAGGTTTAATAGGTTTGACAGGTGTCTGTGGCTATGGTGCTTATGCTTTTAAGAAGAGGAAGATATCTACACAGTTATATCTAATACAGCTACGAGTTGCCGCACAAGGAACAGCAATAGCTTGCTTGACAATAGGAATGGGTTACCATATGATAAAGAAGCATATTTTGCATGATGAGAATGAACCATAATATTAAACATTATGTTTATAGTCTAATTGTTTCCTATATATAAAATGACAAATTTATATATATATATGTACACAAAATTTGTCATATGTATGTATATATAGTGATAATTATGAAAATATATAATATATAGTAATATTTATAAAAACATGTAATATATGTATAGTATGTGTGTGTGTATATACATGCAATATTATATATATAATTATATTATTCTTATTACAAACATATTAATTTTAAACTTTATTTCCAATCCAATTATTAATTTTATTTGAAATACCTCATCCTTCTTAACTGGTGATAATAAAATACATTACTAAGAGCCACTTTTACGAAATTTTGATTAACTTATCAAAGATTAAAATTCGTGGTATTTTGTTAATATGTCTACAAATATTACTTTTAGTATTTTACACATAAAAAAATTCAATTAGAGATAAATTATATGCTTGAAAATATTGTTAATTGGAATTTTTGATATAAAGCTGGACATTTAATACTTATAATTATACTATTTATACCATTGTAGAAGAGGGGCAACAATATAATTTAATGTATCTATTTTAAGAATGAAAGGATATATGCACAATATAATTAAAGAATTAAATTTTATAATATACATAATATTTATTCTCATTATTTGGCACATTTATAACTCATTATAATCTGAAAAGCCAAATGTTAAATTGGATTCTTCTAAGATTTTTATTTTATTTGTAATAATCAATTTATATCTTATTAAACTATACATATTATCATTATTGTTTTTATCCAATATTGATTTTAATTGTGAGATTATAGAATGTGTATGTGTGTGCTCTCACGCACGCACGAATTTCTTCTGAAAAATCAAATTCTAATAGCGAATTCGCGTCGGAATTCACCTGCACTACATCCATACTTCATATTAATGCATACTAAATAAATGCTGTTATATTTGAAATTAATATAAACATTTTAAAGAATTGAAACCAATTTTAATAATGATATGTCGTCATATTATTTAATAGAACATACGAGCACATTAATCATTTCATCATTAAAGTATTTATATATATTGTATCAACGCGTTTAAATACTTCATATATAGCAGCCCTTAGTGTGCAATATAGTGTACAGTGTTCTTTTGGAAGAGAAAATCCAGGTAAAAAAAATCTAATGGTGTTAAATCAGGCGAATGTGTTGCCTATGGTCGCCACGGGGTAAAGCACAATTGAACTTTTATAAATACATGAATTTGTATAACAATGTAAACATACCATTATGTCAGTGTATAACTATTTTTTTTAATATTTCTAATTTCACCGAAATAGATGATCATTTTAGGAACATCCTGTATATATAATATACATACACAGACAAATGAGAGCGATAATACGATATCAGTAAGATCACCAAAATAATTCGTAATAATTTGTAATTTCATCAAAATCAATGGTTACTTTAGGAACACCTTGTATATATAATATACATATACATACACACTAATCACAATGGTATACAATATCAGTAAATTCACCAAAAAATAATTTGTAATTTTGCCAAAATAGATGGTGAATTTAGAAACACCCTGTATATATTATATACATATCAACAGTGATTGGTATCATTCTGTCTGACGCGCGAAACAGAATGGTCAACGATGCTAGTGCGACAACAGTGATATCAAACGATATCGTGGCAATAGCGACGGCGGTGGCAACGTCGGCGGCGGCGGCGGAGGCGGCGACGACGACGACGACGACGGCGACGACGGCGGCGGCGGCGACGTCGACGACGTAGATAATTAATATTGAACCATTTAAAGGAACGATGGAGGGAGAAGATTTTGGAAGTGTCTCATTTGTTACTATATTATAAAATTTGTTTATTCTCACAGACTTCTCTCTTTGCACAAGTAGTAACCTATATACTCTTGAGTATAGAGAAAGAAAAGTGTTCCACGAATTTAAATAATGCTAGAAAATACACATATCGGCCATCTGTTAGAGCAGTAGACAGCTGATAAGCAAACATTTACCGTTCTCTAAACGAATGCATGCCATAAGACAATTGCAGATGATTTCTCTCCTGCTCTAAGAACATGGTAACTGCTGCCTTGGCAGGTGTGAATAGTCCATCCGAATCAGAACTGTAAGAGTTATGATCGGTGCCTTTGTGCACTAATAGCGGAGAGTTGGTTTGCTCTATCATTTCATTTTGCGAGAAATCGTGCGTCTCCTCTTCCGTGCAACCGTCTAAAACTTCTTCCATGGAGACCTCAAAGTCAGCGCTCTGATACACTTCGAGCACCGTTTGTTGATTTGATTGGCCATCGCTTAACGTACGCTCGTGAGTCGGTTCACTTTGTGACAAGACGGCAAACTTGGTGTCCCGGTGACTGCCGTCAAGAGAGATGTTGGAGAGGAATGTGAGGGCGGCCAATCTTCTGCGTGAGTAATTTTTCTTTAAGGCCGCTGCCATTCCACGATAAACCGTGTCGGGATACCGGTACCAAATACCGAGATAAGTAGTGATAACGTGGGCCCGATGACAACGGCGACGACGACGGCGACGACGACGACGATGATGACGACGGCGACGACGGCGACGACGACGACGATGGTGACAGCGACGTCGACGACGACGACGACGGCGAAGGCGACGGCGGCGGCGACGACGACGACGGCGGCGACGGCGACGACGACGGCGACGGCGACGACGACGGCGACGACGACGGCGACGGCGACGACGACGGCGACGACGACGGCGACGGCGACGACGACGGCGACGACGACGGCGACGGCGACGACGACGGCGACGACGACGGCGACGGCGACGACGACGGCGACGACGACGGCGACGGCGACGACGACGGCGACGACGACGGCGACGGCGACGACGACGGCGACGACGGCGACGACGACGGCGACGGCGACGGCGGCGGCCACAGCAGCGGGGGTGGTGACGGTTTTGCGCGTGTGTTTACTGCCGCTGATCGACGAAAGCCTTCTCCCTCTCGTTTCGCGATTGTTCTTTGGTCGCGGCCGCGATCCGTGTGTTTGCCGCGGGAAAAACGATGTCAGGATACCGCAAGGTGAATTATTACGAGCTATGCCGATTGTGTACCAACAGCGAAGGTAACAAGATGAATATATTTCGCGAGGAGGGACGCAGACGACAATTGCAGACGAAAATACAAACATATTTGCCGATACAAGTAAGCACTAAGCACGCATTCTCGCTCTCACATCGAACAGTTTCGAACATTCTGGCACGATTTGCCTGTCAAATCTTAATTTCTTAATTTGATCATGCATTCGCAAGCAACGCGAAAGTTGAGAAAATATCCGAAGAATTTATGAGAGATATTTGAGATTTGTTTCTTTTTTTTGCGGGAGGGGGGGAAGGGGTTACTATTGAAGAAGAACAGAGAGAGAGAGAGAGAGAGAGAGAGAGAGAGTACACTTCGGTTTGATTCATGAAAATAACATTTATCTGAAAATCAGTAAATAATGATAGAATAACACAAGTAATCTTTCGTTATATATATCAAATAACTTATATGTTTCAGTTACAAGAGATTATAATGGATATATATCATATGGGAGTCAAAAAATTCATATATAAACATATATAAATTTAATTTTGCAAAAACTATGTGCAACTCATCAATTATGTTTGTTTCAAATGAAACTAAGTTTCCAACATAAAAGCAAGAAATTTTAACTTTATTTATACAAATTTAGTCTACTATATATATATAACATTTATAATGACTAATATATAATATAAATTTTATATTGTATGTTCCTCTTGTATGTGTGTGTATATGTGTGTATGTTGTGTGTGCTAACATATATTTGCAAACCTTTACATAAGCTTACTACATTAATGACAACTTTATTTTGTTTACTGTGTAAACATTATTTATTTATATTTATATAGAAACTATTCAATTATCTTATCTTACTATTTGTTATATATCTCTGTTGTATATATAAAATATCAAAAGCATATATTTCATTGTTATTTATATGAGTTATAAATAATGCAAAATAATACAAAATTTAAGTGTATAACAAATTAATTTATATGAATATATATTCATTTGAAGAAAAGTTACAAGAATATATTTATAGAAGTACACACACACACACACACAAAGTTTTAAAATTAAGATTTGTTTAAAATAAATTTTTAATATATGATTAATATATATAAATTAATGTTTAATTATATGTCTAATTATCACAAAAGAAGAATTAAAATCAAATAAAATATCTGCATATATATTATAATAGAGATAAATAAATCTTATTATTTTTCCTTTTTACAATAAATACAAATTCATTGTATTTGTTTAAGGTTATGGAAGAAGACTCATTACCAAAAATTGTATGCCACGAATGTGTCAAGAAGCTGGAGAATTTCATAGAATTTCGGGAAACCGTAGTCAATGCCGAGGGTATGTTGGAGTCTTATTTTACTTCACTTCGTTTCTCTGAAGATTTTTTAAAAGAAGGAAAAGTTTATGTAAAAAATACCGAAAAGGAAAGATCATCGACACCAGAGGATGAAATTCTTAAGTCAATGGATAAGGTATCGACATCACCGAGAAGTCAAGTAATAAGCAATGATCAACAAATACAGCAACATCAACAACCTGTTGTAGTTAGCAATATAAATGCTTCTAATATACAAATCATCAGTGGAGTTCAAGCCAGAGTGCAGCAATACAAATGTGCTATGCAGGTCTGTAATGAATCTCAATAATCTTCTAACATTAAATGTAACACATTTTTCTCAAATGTATCCTCCATATATTTATCATAAATAAAACGCTGCGATATCAAAAATAATAAGGTATTACAATTTTTTACATTTAGATGCAACCAGGCGGTATGGCAGCAGCTGTTGTTGAAGCTACAGCAGAAACTCATTACAGTTATCAACAGCAGACATCGCAAGTATCGTCGCAACAATCAAATGAAGTGCAAAATCAAATTAGTGACCAGCAGAATCAATCTCCTGCGATCCAACAACAAGCGCAGAACCAAATACAGAGTCATAGTCAAATAAATCAGCAAGTACAATCCCAAAGACCAATTTCTCAACAATTGAACCAGGCAGGGCAATTATCTCAGAATCAAAGCCAA